CCCCCCCCACTTTAACCACAGATTTTTCAGGTTAAAAAAGTAGTCTTATACGCAGGAAAATAAGGCATTTATTCTGAAAGCATAAACCATGAAGAGGAACAGCAGAAATAAAATGCAGGAATTAATTTAAATACTAATTTCATTAGGGCAGAGGTAGGCCACTGTAACAATCTGGGAACTAATCCCGTCCTAGAATCCTCTGGGAGCCACAGGTACCACAAAAACTGCCCCAAAAAAGAAATAAAGATAACATAACCAACAGTAGCTGAAGTTTGTGTTTTCTATGGTAAACAGTGTAGGGTGGTCCTGCAGCCTATTTAAAGGGTGAACTGCTAAATGGCAATTCAGTATTTCCTGACAGTAAGGGCGGTTCGAGAGTGGAACACACTCCCTCGGAGAGTAGTGGAGTCTCCTTCCTTGGAGGTCTTTAAGCAGAGGCTGGATGGCCATCTGTCAGGGATGCTTTGATTGGGAGTTCCTGCATGGCAGGGGATTGGACTGGATGGCCCTTGTGGTCTCTCCCAACTCTATGATTCTATGATTCTATGATTCTTAGTCTACTCACAGTTTTAAAAAACTAGTTTGATTGTGTTTTCTATGGTAAACAGTGCAGGGTGGTCCTGCAGCCTATTTAAAGGGTGAACTGCTAAATGGCAATTCAGTATTTCTTTTAGCCAGACAAAGGATGGACTAGTGAGGCTGGAGAAGTTAAATACTGGGGGAGGGGTACCTTGAAGATCACGCATGGCCCCAGGGCCACACTTTGCAGTACAATCCCTGTTTTGGGGAAAGGAATTATTTCCCTCCTAAGGTTGCCATCTCAAACCTGGTCAGGGTCTTCATTCCAGTTATGTGTGTGGGTAAAGCCAAAGTATGCCAAAGCAAGACCCACAAGAGGGTATTTGTTCCATACACATGGTGGTACAGGACATTTACATCAACAAAGTTCCCCTTGCTCAACTTCTGCAAGATTACCTCTATGAGCTTCTCACAGAACAGAAGGACAGTACCTTCTAGGCGCAGACCCTCTCAGCTGGGTATTCCGCCAGTGAGCAGGTAAGGGGAAGTGGGTGGGGGAGCGGAGTGGCTCTGGTTCATAAGAACAACTTGAACTTGACCAGAATACCTGTCCAGAACACAGTCCACTTCGAGTGCATGTATCTAAGCCTGCGGATCAGGGATAGTTTGGGGATTCTGTTAGTATACCGGCCACCCCGCTGTCTAGCAGACTCCCTAATCGAGCTGACGCAGCTGGCCTCAGATTTACTGTTGGAGTCCCCCAGACTTCTAGTTTTAGGGGACTTCAACATCCCTCTGGAGACCAGTTTAGCAACCCTTACAGGAGCAGCTTGGGAGTTCATGGAATCCATGACAAACATGGGCCTATCCCAATTGGTCATCGGGCCTACTCATTGTGCAGGTCATACACTCGATGTGGTCTTTAGTACGGAACAGGAATATCCTTGGCAGAGGTTATTAAAACCTCTGCATTGTCATGGACGGATCATTTCCTGGTTAAGGCTGAGCTAAAAGTCACTGTCCGCCCCTCCAGGGGTTGTGAACCCATTAGAATGGTCTGCCCTCGAAGGCTAATGGAACCAATTGGATTCTAAAAAGCCTTGGAGAGTTTAAATGACTGGTAATGCCTGTGATTTTGTCGAAGCGCTGGTTAATACATGGAACACCAATCTTACCAGGGCTATCGACACAATCGCTCTCAAGCTGCTCCGAATTGCAAGCCTTGGTAAACAGAAGAGCTTAGGAGGATGAAGCAGGTTGGACAATGACTAGAGCGCACCTGGCAAAAAACTCAACTCTTATCTGATAAGACTTGTCATAGGAATTTTTCTGAGTCCTATCGACAGGCAATACGTGCACCGCAGAGATCTTTCTGCTCTGCACATATTGTGTCTGCAGAGTACCGTCCAGCGGAGCTGTTTAGGGTGGTAGGGGAGCTGACGCAGGTTCCTACTACACAGAACCCACTACTTAAGCTGACAACGGCCTGCTGTGACACATTTAACAATTTATTTGCAGATAAAATCTCTCAGATAAGAGCCGACTTAGATGCCAGTATTGATACAAAAGCAAGCAAAGCAGCTTCATTTATATACCGCTTCATATCACACTATGGGACGTCTAAGCGGTTTACAACTGTGAGCTGATTGCCCCCCAACAAGCTGGGTACTCATTTTAGCAACGTCAGAAGGATGCAGGCCTGAGTCAAGCCTCAGCCCTGGCTGGTATTGAACTCGCAACCTTGTGGTTTATGAGTGAGTGGCTGCAGTACAGGCATTTAACACTGCGCCACCAGGGCTAAAATACAGAATCTATAGACGAGGTGTCCAGCGACTCTGTTAATGAAATTTCACTGGATCAGTTTCAATCTGTGAGTACCAATGACGTGGACAAGCTCCTTGGTAGAGTGAGGAAAACTACCTGCCCTATCAATCCTTGCCCAACATGGCTGGCCGTCCAAGGGGGGGGGGGGATGCCTTGAGGGTCTTCCTCAAAGACATTATCAACACATCCCTCAAAGAGGGTTTTATCCCATCCTGTTTAAAGGAAGCGGCAGTCGGACCACTCCTGAAAAAACCCTCCCTGTACCCCCTGGATATGAATAATTACAGGCCAGTCTCGTTATTACCATTCTTGAGCAATGTGGTTGAGAGGGCAGTAGCTCTTAAACTCCAAGCTGTCTTGGATGAAACCAATTATCTAGATCAGGGGTAGGCAACCTTTCCCCTTTAAGGGCCGAGGGACTTCAGCTCCCAGAATCCCAGGAGCTATTGGCCAACATGGGACTATTGGCCAACATGGCTGAGGCTTCTGGGAGCTGAAGTCCCTCGGCCCTTAAAGGGGAAAGGTTGCCTACCCCTGATCTAGATCCATTTCAAACTGGCTTTAGGACAGGATTTGGGGTTGAGACTGCCATGGTTGCCTTGACTGACAACATTCATTTGAGCATCAACAGGGGCAGTGTGACCCTGTTGGTGCTCTTAGACCTCTCAGCAGTCTTTGACACAATAGATCATAACATCCTCTTGATTTGCCTGAGGGGGCTGGGAATCAGAACCACCGCACTGCGGTGTTTCCGTTCCTTCCTCTCGGGTAGAACCCAGAGGGTGTTGCTCGGGGACAGCCGCTCCGCTAATAAGGAGCTCAAGTGCGCCGTCCCACAAGGCGCCATTCTGTCCCCGATGTTATTTAACATCTATATGAAGCCGCTGGGAGAGCTTATTCAGAGACATGGGGCAGGGTGTTATCAGTACGCTGATGACACCCAGATCTATTTCTCCATGTCCCAGTCGTCAGCCTCAACTCCCAATGGCGTCTCTCTTCTCAATGACTGTCTTAAGGCAGTAATGGACTGG